TTGGTAGACTAGCCCATGTTTCACACTGGGGAGGAAGTGAATCCCTTTATGTACATATGTTTGGTTCACCATCTGGACTACAAGCTCTTCTGAGAAGAAACTGTTTTCTCTTGCTTTAATGTCCCTCTGTAGAGATTATAAAAGCTTTTCCTCAGGGTAGACATCGCTATGTTTGCTAGTACTGTGAATAATATATAAGATATCTTTGAATTTCTGTCTTAATATCTTCCTTATAGCTATTCCTCCTGGTTACTGAAAGACATATAGTTTATTTTACGAGTATAGGCCTTGATAACAGATAAGAAACTCACAGGAAAGGGAAACGTCACAACTAAATGGGACTGTAACAGGGAACCAAAAAGGATGAAATATCACCATTACATATTAGTCCAAGAAAAGTAGTCTGATAGCGAGCAAACCCTTTTTTCTGTTTTGACAATAACATCAGTACGTGAAAATAACACAGAGGTGAACTAATAAATACTAATAAATCCTTTATTTACCTAAATAAAAGGGCTGGTCATGAGTTTTATTTGCTTTAAGTAATTAAAATACTATTAATTATATATTGCCTATTGACGCAACCATCAAATAAACTATACTATTATTTCTTAATGCGGAGTTTTTTTTTTTCAGTTGATACAAGAAGGGAAAAAGATGTCAATGAAGCAGAAACTTCCAGAGATGAAAACAAATAAGAAACAGTATGTTTTTTTCTTATTTAAATCACAAAAGTGCATTAAAAGGCAACAAAGCAAAAAACAAAAAACAAAAAAAACCATATGACCAAAAATAGCAAGCTGTTTTTAAGCATTAATAATTTTAAAATAAGCTGGTGGCTTTGATATAACTGTAGGTAAAAGATAACTGAGTTCATGTCCATAAAAATTTACCACTGTAAAACATGCTTAGGGTAAACTTTTAGAATTTATTTTTAGATGAATATGTGGTTCATTTGTACGAAACTGGAAATCCTATTGTTTTAAACTTGTATACAAAGCTTATGTCTTATTCTTAACACTCAAGAGGCAGGAATTTAGGGTTTTGGGTATACAGAACAGCAATTCCCCTGTAATTTTCTATCTTGTCTTGATCTCCAATTTCTCTTGAAAAGCACTTCAGCTACTTTTCACTATCTGGTCCCCATGTTAACTGGCAATAAAAGGTAAAAAAAACTTAACTTCTTCAAGGGTATTAAAGTTGGTCTGTAAAAGGTAATTTTAGTTTTGTTCAAGGTTAAGTCAAGGTGATATGAAAGCATTTATCCAGGAAGAGAGTTTAATTATCATTATTTTAAGTAGAGGACTAGGGGGGTTCTATTTCCTGGTCCAAATCTAGTATGTCTATTGTATGCTGCTAATACTTAGAGACCCATAATAGGTCTTTACACTCAGTTTCTGATTTGTTAGTATATACTTTAAGAAATTTATTTAAAGTTTGCTTTATCCTCAAGAGGCATACTTTTTAAGGAAAGTGTTAATTATGCTCCACATTAAATGACTTTACAATAAATGAATTACTTGAAAAGTTCTTTTAAAAATAGATGAGGCCCAGGCACAGCAGTTCAGGCCTGTAATCCCAGCATTTTTGGAGGCTGAGGAGGAAGGGCTTGAAGCCAAAGTTCAAGACCAGATGAAGTAGCAAAGCGAGACCCTGTGTCTACAAAAAATTTAAAAAATTAGGCAGGCATGGTGGTGCACGTATGTAGTCCCAGCTACTCAGGAGGCTGAGGTGGGAGGATCGCATGAGCCCAGGAGTTTGAGGTTGCAGTAAGACATGATTGCACTCCAACCTGGGCAACAGTGAGACTCTGTCTCAAAAAAACAAACAAACAAAAAAAATTGCTGATGAAACAAAGAAGGAACAAAGGAAAGCAGGAAACAAAGAGAAGAAATGCATCATCAAGAAATTTCCCCCAATTACTGTTTTCTCTTTTCCTTTATGTAGGAGACATACACTGCTAATTCAACCTTTATTACAAGATCGGCAGCCCTAAGAATTCCTTTTAAAATATGGCATGTTTTTTATATCTATATGTATTCCTGCTCCTAAAAGAATGAAGAACAGACATTTCCACATGCAGCTCAATCACTTTTTAAACCATATTTACTTTTATCATTGCTTGGATGCATGCAATGACTGAATGCTACATATTTCTAGTTACAAGAATAAAGGAGGCTGGGTACAGTGGCTCACACCGGTAAACCCCAGCACTTTCGGAGGCCAAGGCGGGCAGATCAAGAGGTCAGGACACGGAGACCATCCTGGCTAATATGGTGAAACCCTGTCTCTACTAAAAATACAAAAAAATTAGATGGGCGTGGTGGCGGGCATTTGTAGTCCCAGCTACTCGGGAGGCTAAGCCAGGAGAATGGTGTGAACCTGGGAGGCGGAGCTTGCAGTGAGTCAGATCACACCACTGCCCTCCGGCCTGGGCGACAGAGTGAGATTCCATCTCAAAA